AATAGTTATTTATTTATTCAGTTAATAAATCATTATATGTATATATTTATTAATCCTTTTGTTTCTTTAAATGCATCTTTTGATTGTAGATCCAAATCCGTACTTGAACAACTATTCTGGAAAACAGTTTCCTGGACGTCAAATTGTAAACAAAAATTACCAGTCTCTGAATCCAAGTGGTGGTATTATATCTGATAAAACGTTGTTGATGGTAAATAACCAGAAAATATGTAACATTTCCCATAGTGAAGCTACAGCATGCAGTAACAATGTGTGTGACAAGGAATTAAATGTGAAGTCACACTTTGAGAAGAAACTGTACAGATGTGAAGAGTGTGGCAAACAACTTGTATCACGGAGTAATTTCAAAATACACCTGAGAATTCACGCTGGAGAGAAACCGTACAGTTGCATAGTTTGTGGTAAGAAATTTGTGAGCAAAAGCCATCTTAACAGCCATACGATGTCACACACTGAAGAGAAACCGTACAGTTGTCTAGTGTGTGGTAAAGGATTTATTAAAAATAGCTTACTTCAAGAGCATGAAAGGATACACACTGGAGAGAAACCTTACAGTTGTGTAGTGTGTGGTAAAAAATATGGAAGAAGAAGTTATCTTAAAACTCATCAGAGGACACATACTGGGGAGAAACCATATAGTTGTTTAGTATGTGGTAAAAAATTTGGAAGAACCAGTCATCTTAGAACTCACCAAAGAATACATACTGGGGAGAAACCGTACAGTTGTTTAGAGTGTGGAAAAAAGTTTTTATGTAATAATAACCTTAAAACACATAAAATGATACACACTGGAGAGAAACCATTCAGCTGTTTAGTGTGTCATAAAGAATTTAGTAGAAATTACCATCTTAAAGTGCATCAGAAGATACACAGTGAGGAGAAACCGTACACTTGCGTAGTTTGTGATAAAAGATTTAGAAGTAAAAGTCATCTTAACATACATGAAAAGATACACACATTAGTAGTCACATTAGAACACATGAAGTGATACAGAATAAGGAGAACCAAACAGTTTTGTAATGTATATTAAATAATTCAGAATAATTTATCATCTTAAAACTCTTCAAGATACATACATTAGTAGTCGCATTAGAACACATGAAGTGATACAGAATAAGGAGAACCAAACAGTTTTGTAATGTATATTAAATAATTCGGAATAATTTATCATTTTAAAACTCTTCAAGATACATACATTGATGAAAAACAAAACAGTTGGATAACTTGTGGTGATGAATTCACATAACACACACTGGAGAGTAACTACTTTGTTGTTTGTAAGAAATAGTAACATAGAAAACATGAATACATGCACTGTACAGCTGTTTAGTAAGGAAAGTGTAGGTACTTAAAAAAACATGTCTAAAGTCAAGAAGTGGCGACATGTTGAGAGAAGATAATGAAAATAAACATAAAATTTACAAGTTTGTTGTGTGTGGCAGGGATTTTGATTGAAAAGCTGCTTAGAAAAAATATCAAAATACATTTGGGGATTGAACACATTTTCTTAGATTGTGTATTTGTAAAGAAATTAATAAATACACACTGGAGCCAAATACTAAAGTTGTATAATACAAATCCTTGACATAAAACCAATATATGTAGTTGGATGAGAAATTATACGGTCGTGATATCTGTGATGAGAACTTTTATCCATAGTGTAGATAATCAAAGGTTTGTGTAATGAAAGATATTTAAAGAAACAACGGTCAGTGAACAGTGAGAATTGATACAAGTTTTTTGTTATGTGTGTGTTTCTTTGACTGTAAATGTTATAGTTACAATGAAATATGTAAACAATGTTACACTGGGGAAACATCTTGTGACTTTGGAGGATATACAGTAGTATAGGTTATGGAAACTATGGTAACTTACAAATGTAATGATTTAATTAACCTTGGGAAGAAACTATACAGTTGTAGTGTCTGTTGCAGTAACTTACACATTGTTTTTGGGTAACACATGAGATCATCTACAAGTGAAATAAACATACTTTTGTGTAGAGTAAAGATCCGCAAGTGAAACATGAGGTCAAACATTACTTTGAAGAAAACCATAAGGTAATTACAGATCCTGTTTTGTCCTCCATCAATTTACATGTAACTAAAGAAGTCACAAAAGGCCAGGCAATATATGTCTTCTCTAGTATAGGGTTACAATAAGGTACACTGACATAAGTACAAGACTTGAGGCTAACTTTTACTGGAACATGATTAGTAAAGGCCAGGGTTACAATAAGGTACACTGACATAAGTACAAGATTTGAGGCTAACTTTTACTGGAACATGATTAGTAAAGGCCAGGGTTACAATAAGGTACACTGACATAAGTACAAGACTTGAGGCTAACTTTTACTGGAACATGATTAGTAAAGGCCAGGCAATATATGTCTTCTCTAGCATAGGGTTACAATAAGGTATACTGACATAAGTACAAGACTTGAGGCTAACTTTGACTGGAACATGATTAGTAAAGGCCAGGGTTACAATAAGGTACACTGACATAAGTACAAGACTTGAGGCTAACTTTTACTGGAACATGATTAGTAAAGGCCAGGGTTACAATAAGGTACACTGACATCAGTACAAGACTTGAGGCTAACTTTTACTGGAACATGATTAGTAAAGGCCAAGCAATATATGTCTTCTCTAGCATAAGGTTACAATAAGGTATACTGACATAAGTACAAGACTTGAGGCTAACTTTTACTGGAACATGATTAGTAAAGGCCACAAAACCTTTTTCCTGTGTTATTAAGTATGATGAGCACTACAGTGAAGCTAACATTTCACACTCTGGCTGAAGCTATTGCTCCACCATGTGGATTTTTCTAACTGTTTGAATAAAAACACAGGAGCTTCTAATAAAGTCTCAAAAATGGAAATATATGAAAATATTAAAAACACAGTCATTTTAAACAAAGAACCCAACATAAACAAACGAAAAATCAAGGATACCATCTTAATTGAACAAACAACCCTACTCTAAACCTAACACCCCGGGTGCCT